CAGAGATCGGCTCAGCCGCCTGCAGCCCGGCGGGATTTCGACACCGTTCTGCTGTGAGGTAGCGCGCCAGATCGTGTCATGTTGCTCTGCACTGCAGCTGGTCCGAACACAGATCGGTCGTGGTGTCAGAAGCCGAACAATTAGCACCAGTAGCCCTTATCGTGCCTGTCATGCTGGTTTCGATCTAACACCCAATCCTGGGAAAACCGCCACAGAATAGCGCGGTTTCACAACGGTGGTTGAAACAAAAATACAGGCGCTAAACCCAACTCACTCCCAGAAGATTGAACAAGAAAATTATTAGATTACATAGGGAAAGTAGTCCTTAAAGGAACTGATAATCCGCCCAATTTTTCAACATCACTATGTCTGAAAACACTTGTGAGAAAATGGATAAAACGAGCGCCACACGTGCAATCATGCACGGCGCTGTGGTTGGACGCCCGTCCGATCACCGAACAATGGTGGCTGAACATAACTAACAAGCTCCACTCGCCGCTCGTTTGGACATGGCATCTTTGCAGACTACCGCTGCTACCTGGCGCTGCCGTGTGACGAGCAGATCATCGTCACCCACCCGAGCTGAAACAGGTGACCGCCGCCACCGCACCGGCGCGACAGCGGCGACACTGAAACCGGAATCTCGCCTCGTGCGTTTTTGTCGAGGCTCCTCCCTGTCATACGATGGAGAGTGAGCTGTTCGGAAAGAGCGGGTCGACGGCAGTGGGTGTTCGACACTCATCTCACCGACGGGTGAACCAATGATGTCACAACTGGACCAATGACGTCAGCGGCACGGGGTTCGCCGGTTAGCACCTTGGCATCAATCAAAGATGCAATATTCTCAATCATAGGAGGATGATCGCTACAAAACTACATTTTTTGCTGTTATCGATAATGTTATCCCCATCTTCCTTCCCCTTTTTGCGTTGATATGTTGATGTTCGAAAATGCTGTACAAGGATAGTAGGTATAAGTTGATGCATACTACCTTTACCAATATTCAATCACCATCCCTAATTCTTGCGTGCTATATTATATTGCGATGCTTTACAATAATATGGTATTTTGAATGAACTTTTCTTCAGTTCATATTACGATTGAGCCTCAGCCTGCCTCATATAAATTAATTAATAATTCAGGAACACCTGCAAAAATAAAATATCGCGAATAAATTGTGAAAAGAGCCTCTTGCAATCGTACTCTATATTTGCAAGTGCAGTTTTGCCCCTGGCTGAAACAATCCTAAAACTTCGCCTTATAAATAAATAAAACGTTAACACCTTGCTCCATCTTAAAACGTCAGCAATGTTAGATAACAGTTGTTACAGCCACTAATTGCTGGCACACCTGTAAGCTCTCCAAAGCTCCAAAACAGCGTGTCGCGGTTTCAACGCTGACAAATGAAGCCTGTGAGCGATTTTCTGGTTAGAACAACTGATATCATGCTCGTCTCCAAGGTTCACATCCTCTTCAATCACGAGTATCTGTATTTCGCTCTGTCGATCCGCTACTGTGCCAGGGATTCGGCCGCTCTGCGGATTTCGGTGGCATGTGAAGGACATTGTCACAAGCAAGGGAGGCTGGTAACTGGCATCCATTTAGACATGGTCAGATTAAAGCTCATAGCCAGACTAATAAGCTGTGTTTTGCCTTCGCTTTGGTGTGAAACATATCATTACGGCTCAAACAATTACGTGGTAAGCATAAAAATCACTTCGTAACCACACGATATACGATTTATAGGAGCTTACTACATCTCTTATTCTTTGTTATGGTACCGCATTTCAAATATTTTTGGTCAGTAAGAACAGTAAAATGTGTTAGCAATAGTGAAAGGATCGAATAGGTATATTTTAAGCACTCTTAAGCACACATTGGTGCTTATTCAAGCTGCAAAAGAGAAACATCCGTTGGGATTTCGTTAATCTTAGCAAACCTCTGTCAAGCGATACCTAATTTCATTTTATTTGGACGACTTGAGACAATTTCGACAATTGAGACTTACAATGCAAGCTGACAACATGAGACATTTATTTGAATCTCTACATAGTTTTACCAAGGTTTATAATACACAAAACGTTTTAAGTGGATGGCAAAATGTCGACATTATAGCCATTTTTCATCCATATTACAAAATACAATGCTAAATTTTATAATGCTAAAAAATTTCTTGCAAATGCTACAAAAAGGTTCAATAATTTAATAAGCAATAATTCATAACTCTGCTGGCAGCATGTTTATGGGAATGGCAGCCTGATCATTCCACATGGACAATAAGCAACAACCCAGAGCGGTAATAAACTGTCAAAACAAGGACAGGTATACGTTTTCAGTGGTCCCATTTGGTATCTGTATTTCCCACTAAACAGCAATTAGCACTTCCAAGACTTGCCGAGGTCTAATAAACCGTCTGCCCGAATGACGGGCGGAGAATGAGGGAAACAGCGAGCCACCGGGTCCGAACACATTAAAGTCGGTCTCACTTCCTGGCCGGCACTGCCAGTCAGTCCCCCTCGCAAGCAGCGCCAATCAAATTCTGAGGAGGTCGTATGTACCAGACCGCCGCCACAGCCTGCCGCTTCATTTCACAGCCACATCTCACGACAGCGTCCCACCGCTACATCCCACTGCTACAGTCAGCCGTCACAACCCGCAGCCACAGCTAACCGCCACAGTCGGCCTCCACAGCCAGCCGCCACGGCCTGAGGCTACCGTCTGTCACCGCATCCTACGACCACATTCCACCGCCAGTCTACAGTCTGCCGCCAGACTCCAACGCCAAAATCCACCATTACAGGCAGCCGTCACAGTCGGCTGCTACAGTCCACATTTCTTCACCACAGCCCACAGCCCGCCGCCACACTCCACGGCAGCATCCCACCGCCAGTCAACTACCGCAGGCCACATCTAACCGCCACAGCGAACCACCATATCCCACCTCTACAGTCGGGCCCCACGGTTCACAGTATCAGCTGACCGCCACAGGTAACCGCCACAGCTAACCACCACAGCTAACCACGACATCCCACAGTCACAGTCCGCCGTCACAGTCCGCCATTACAGACAGCCACCACAGTCCACCGTGCTGCCACATCCCACTGCCACATCCCTGCCGCTACAGCCGATCGCCACAGCCCGCCGCCACAGTCCACCATTACAGACAGCCGCCACATCCCGCAGCCACAGTCCCGTCGCCACAGCCCGCCATAGCTCTAGGCCGGACCAGTGCCGTGTAACGCGTCTATGCATACTCGACGGCCTCTAGCGTTACATATTTACAGATCTCAGAGGGTGATAGGAGGAGAGGATCACAGACAGGTCAGTGTGAGAAGGGTTTAGGTGCAATCCTGTGCAGTATTGTTCTGATTGTTGGGCCTATGGAACGCAAATGCTGAGAATTGCATAGGCTCGGAGCCAAAAGATACTGATAATGATGAACAGACGCACTGTCCCGTGTCCGAGTTGTAGGGTTTTGAATGATAATTGATTTCATTATCTATCACCAATTCGATCGTTCGCACAAATTTATCGTCCAATGTAAGAACACATTGCAATTGTTATTTTTGAATTAAAATCGTGCTAAGAAATCAGAAAGGACGCTCGGCGTCGCATCTTTCTTATTTATTTCCCTTAGTTATAATATATCATATTTTCCGTTTATTGCTGTTCTCAGTTTTGTGGGACATTGGCACCAATTAACAATTGTCATGCATGAACAGTCCATCTTTTGCCCAAAGATGGACTCTTTGCGTACATTTCAAAAGCATTCAGATTTCGAACGGTTCAGGAGAATGCCAGTTGCCAGATGCCAATTTATGCAAACTAAATATTTTTGGTACGCAAAAAGGCATTGCTCTGCTATAGTATAACGTTACATAATCTGGTAAAGCGATATATTTTATAGCATGTTAACAAAGCTACAAACAGCAGAAATACCACGGCTGCCTTTCGCCGCCCGAGCCTTCCCACACGGATTACACACGCAGAGCACGACTCCGTCTCTGGAAACAAAAGCTGCGTGTTCTCGCACTGCGCGTGCTGCTTCCTCTAGTGCTATAATTAATAAGTCGGTCGGCACGTTTTCTCTGTACGGTGTTGGGCTACCAGGTAACGAGCAGCCAGCGAACAGTACACCGACCGGCCGCGACCTGTCAGTCGGAGCGCGGCTTGTACAACTAATTACACACGGATGTCGATTTCTCCGCGCCTGCTCCGACCCACGCGCGTGTGTCCGAGGGGACCAGTGGCAACACCTTCTAACTACTGGTATATTGGTGAGATTAGATCAGTCAATGCCCAAAGACTAGGCAGTGACGTATATCGGATCTCAGGGTGATATTGTAATGTAGCAGCTTGGCAACTTCTGCTCTGGCCGGCGTATTTTAATCTTGCAGTCCTAATTCTGCTGAAGTAACCTTTAAAAATTGCCAGCAAGGGTTACCCGAATAAGTTTTACAAAAAAAAGAAGAAATACCCGACATGGCATTGGAACTACAGGCTTATTGAAATTTTTATCTTAATAAATGCATTTGATAAGTCCTAGCTAGGCATTTACGCTCATGTCGGAAAACACATGAGTTTCACACTTACTGACGCAGTCGAAAAAAGTGGTGATTCCATTTTGCCAGAATGAAGCATTTTATTCATTAATTATTTGATCTTGTCGATGTGGAGCCATGGCTGGATGCCTACGTTGGCGACCCTTAGGCCTTAGGTAAGCAAGTATATTTTCGAACGGCAAAGTGAAGACGATGTGGTTGCTGGATGTAATAAATCCATTGACTTTCCCCAAATATCTTTCATAATTTCATATGTGGACTTAAGCAGCAGGGCGACCAAAATCATACATTTATACATAATCATCGCGCTCAGAGGTGGCGTAGAAGAATATCCGATCACCGATAATTGTAACAAGCACCATTCCAAGGTTGTGCGACCACGTACGACACAACCGCTCACAATTCACGCCGCTGACCGAGCTCTAGTCGGGTACTCACCAATCGTTGCGTTTTGTCGGTCGGCACAGCGCGGGCAAAAGCACAGACCCGGCGCACCCCCTCACACACGACGAGCGACTGACCGCCGCCGCCCGGGCACCTGCCTCACAGAGGGCAGCACTGAGGAAGCGGCGGCGCGGGGCGGAGCCTCCGCGTCTCAGCCAATCGCCGCTCAGAGGCGGAGCCGGAGCCGTGCAGCAGCCGAGGCTCCGCCCCCTCGCCGCGCGCCCGCCGCTCAGATGCGGCCGATAAGCGGCGGTGCAAGAATGGCTGGTTCCTGAGAAGGCTTCCCGTGTCCGATGACGCCCGATGTCACCGCGCTCGCGGCTAATTCACCTCTATTTAAATATCCCATTGCTTTGGTGAGGCGTGTGGCTGCACAGCGGTCGGCAATCACGGCACTTCACTGTGTGGACGGGGCGGCACCCCCGCCATTGTGGCACGTCGTATTTGTTTTGTCGCTCACCTCCAGACGTCCAGTGGGAGGAATAATACCGGCATGAGCTGCACTGGCCAGAAATAATCGATGACAAGGTGTGGAAATGGACTATTTTAGCCGAGCGGGGCGGAGCGACAGTGGGAAACAAATCACGTGTGGCTGAGGACAATGGAGCTGCGGGCGGCTCTCAGTGCAGCCGGCCAGCAGAGGGCTGCACCGCGCTGACAGATGAAGTATTCATCTGCACGTGTTTGGTGGTGGCGGCCGCCCCCGTTTGTGGTGACGCGCCGGGCGATCGATCAGCGACGATCACGCCTTTTGTCGTCACCGCGCCACTGACGGTAAGGGCGACACCCGCGCTGCATTGCACGGTAATATCGCACCTAACGGTCGCTGGCTCAGCTGGACGCCCGCCAGTACATAAATAGAGTGTTATTTCAATGAAGGCCAGGACTGGGGCGACAAGGCTATGGAGCCGCCTTTTGTCACTGAAGTTTGCATAACAAACCTGGAGTGTTTAAAGCGAACAGGTATTAAATTGTTAACGAATTGATCTCTTATTCTAGGCGAAATGAAGGTGCATGATGACGCACACATACCTATCACCTCTTCGTTCTAATCTCGATTATTTTGTATTATTTCTCACGAGAATACTTCATAGTGGATTAAACCTTTTCATTTTTTTTTTTATAAATTTAGTCCGAATGGTTGAATGGGTGGATTTGAGGAATCAGAGCCCGCACTAAGCATAGCTTGTTGTGCTGACCCTGACCCCACCACCCGATCGCGCAATTCCAGTTGTATGGCAGAATTTTGTCCGAACGTTTAACGTGCCCTCACGACTGGACACGGCCCCCTCCCCTTCATCAATGTAACTTTGATGCCCCATTTTCAAAAAAAAAGTTTAGTTAATCGAAAATCCAATTCCCTCGTCCGCAGCGAACCAGATTTCTTTAATTTTTGCCTTTTCATTCACAAGCCAGAACCATTGAGCAGAATTTTGCGAAGCCACCGCGCGTAGGTGTCTCTGCATCAATCTCGGTCAGAGTATTCCAGCAACAAAACAAGCCCTGCAATAAACCATCAGTTCAGACATCTGCCCAAAACCACTTCAATTGCCCCCAAAACTGTACCTATATTTCCCAACTGTTTAAGTTATGATTTTCAGTTGTTACAGTTCACATATGACGCTTGCTATCTGACATTCGCTGTCACCACACGTTCTCACTTGACAATGAAACATGTAGTTTGGATCTAGGGAATTCGACGGGGTCAACTTTCCCGAAGACATATTTTCATAAGGTGATGACTGATAAGAAAAGAGGGTGCGAAGCCGAACTCGGGTAATCTATCGAAAACGGGCTTCAGCCATGGATGCATGTGTACGCTGGTATGTGCCGTGCTATCAATAAGATATCCGTTAACTTTTGTCACACTCGAGCGTTTAAATGTCCAATGGAATCTTTACCAAATCAGCGAAACCTTATTGTGATGTTCATGACATACGACACCAAAGTCCAATCTTACCAATGCCGTAAATAGGATTTGGCAGCACTGGGCGGACTTTACGGCACCGATATCAAAGACATCCTTTTTATTTACATCCAGCTAATCTTGTCTAATGGTTTTGATAGTGTGAATAATTATGAATGTTGCCTGAACGAATGAATAAGTGAATGTGGAATAGTTCTGAATGTTACCAAATGCCCTGAATGCGCATTCACGGCATTTGGTAAGATTGGACCCAAGTATCAGAAGAAAATTTATAGGCTGACCAGTGGTCGTGTAAGAATGTGCTTTGTTCACGATATGCACCGATTCGGGGAAACAACTCATTGTATATGCTGACGATAACCGCTTTAGCGGTACTGTCGGATATACACTTACATTCACTCGTCATGAGCACCAGCGGATCCAAGAGGGCATTTGGGAAAAATCCCTCCCTTCGTATCGGCCGAAATCGATGAAAATTTCCCGTTTTTTTTTTCAAATAGAAAAGAACACCAAACAGTTTTTAAAAGGAAAAGTTTGCTTTACACTGCACAGTAGTGAGAAAGGAATTGAAATCGGAGGAGTTCTTGGAATTTTGAGAAACTTTTTTGGCAGTACCTATCCCTCGCAACGTTCCAGAGCGCCTTTGTGAATCCGTCTATGGTCAAGTGTCTTTTTTTCTAACATCGAAGCCTATCGTTTTTCTCACAGACAATGACAATACAAAAACAATGTAATAAGACCAGACGTTTCGACAACAAAGTGCCTTCGTCAGTGGAAAACAAGATATAGGCTTTACATCGATAAAAAATATAGAAGACGATCTATCGATGTAAAGCCTATATCTTGTTTTCCACTGACGAAGGCACTTTGTTGTCGAAACGTCTGGTCTTATTACATTGTTTTTGTATTGTCATTGTCTGTGAGAAAAACGAAATGTCTGACTCTTCTAATCGAAGCCTATTTCATTTCACATTAAAATGCTGGCACTGCAGTGCTAACTGCTAGGTATAGGGACCGAACCAGCCCAATGTATGTGGAGTATTTACCTAAAATTATTGCTTAAAACAACTTGTAAAATAATATTCAGACTATGAAATGATACAAATAATAAAGTGACAGGTATATTTAATATTATTCACAACAGTGGCATTGCTGGCGGTGGAGGATGAGGACTGCAGGCAGATTAGGATCTGTTCCCGTGGTTGCACCAACCTCCTCTAAACTCCTCTAACCACCTTTCGTTCCTGAAAATCATTCCCGTCGCTTCTCGAAGCTCCTTTAAACTCCTTTCGATCCCTCATCCCACCACCACTATTTTCCTCCTCCCTCATCCCAAACGAAAGTTGGATTTCTGGATGAGACTCTGCGTAGACATATATTGGCGGACATAATACAAGCTTGAATTGTTTATAAATGAGCTTTGTTAAATTGTTTAGAGATTATCTCAAAATTAATATTGGCGCGCCATAGCTCGTCTGCTATTTAACTAGCCCCAGAAACAGCTCATTTCCTCACAGAAATGTTCCCGTGGCTGCTCCAAGACTGCTCCTCGAAGCTCCTTCTCCGATATTTTTTTTTATTAACCACGAGAACAAACCATAGGTAAAGCGCTTTTATCAAGGACGCCGTCTTGGTAAAAGCGAGGTGCTCACCAGGCACGTCTTTTAAGCATGTCCTCATAGGTATCAGCCTGCTCGTAAGCAGCTTCTAAACTTGAGACCGATATTTCCTCATCACCAAACTAGTATAAACACTCTCGCACCAAGCTTGGCAAATCCAGGAAAGTAATTCCTGGGAAGCATGACGGAAGCATGCATGGTTCCTGACGATTCCGCGAGGTATCTGTATTAGGTCCTGGGCAATAGCACTATCCATCATTGTTCTATATAAGCCGACATATTGTGAAGTGATCATCGGTCATTTGAGTGTTCGTGGCTCAGCCATGCGGTCAGCTTATGCTTATTGGCAACACGACCCATTATCGTCACAGACAATCAACATGCATTGACAATATATGCTAATGCAACTGCATATGCACGCTCGAAGCATACCAACAGTTGTAACTATTTCAGAGGATGAGGTGCCGACGATGTAATGAACCATGTTTCAGTACATGTTATGCCAAGTGAGTTTTGTGGATTTCAAAGACTTCTTCAGACGTTGAATGGCTAATCTGACGTAACTGGAGAACATATATGCAACGTTTTCCTGGCTGTGTCAGCCTCGGTCTCTTTGAATCTGTGAATTTGTAGGTTTGTGTAAAGGTTTTGGAGTTTCAGCACATCACTCTTAAGTGTGTGCAATGTTTCTCCTTGAGAATTAAAGCCGACGCATATTAAGATGTAAGAGGAATTCATATTTTGTTGGCAATCAGCACTGGGCTGCATCGCTTGCTCTTATTTACAGGCTTATTAAGGCCGCAGCACAAGTACCGGGCTAGTCATTATGTAGGTTGGGGTACAAGAGTACCTGACTCGCCATGGTCGGCCGTATGTTCTGAAGGGTATCGCGCTGCCACGGTGTTCCGGTGCGCACCGGTACCGGCTCACCGGGAGTCCCGTGATCGACTCTGTTCCCCGGCGCGCGGCCGGCGGGGAGCCGTTTTTATTGGGCCTGATTGTGTTCCGCGGGGCGCCGGCTCCATAGTGGTCCCACCGCGCTGTGATACCAAGTTCATTCATGGATACTGAGAATGGGACGCAGCCGTGGAGCCCATTCATACGGGTGAGCTCATCCAGATGAATTGTGAGAGGTTTGGATGCATGAATTAATTAATCAAATGCAAAACAATTCTCAGATTTATGTCAGTGACCTGGAACTGAAATAACCAGATCTGACCCATGCATCCTTGGTGGTCCCAGAGTAGATCAAACTCTGCACTAAAACCGCGCTCGTAGCTGGCGTGGGTTTATCGATCCGGGTTTATGACACCTCTCGGTGGCGGTGCGAGGTGTGTGGCGGCGGCGGTGGGCCGATCGGCGCCCCCCGCAGCCCTCTGTGTAATCAGCTCTCGGCGGCAGTGACCGGCCGCCGCCGTCGGGACGAACCCCGCTGATTTCCGGGGGAAATCGAGCACGACCGACCGCGGCGCACATATGAACGATGAATGAATTTGATCGGCGACGCCGCGTGGCACGCTGGCCGGGAGGTGGGCTCCGG